AACCTTTTTGGGCCGTAAAAAACCTCGCCCCCCCCAAGGGGAAAGAGCGCGGGAGTTGGGGTGTTTACGCGTATTTTTTTGTGTGTGACCATGCCCAAGGGGGGAGCGCATGTGAGTGTGTTTTTATGTGAGGGGGGGGAGTATTTTGCGCGGATTTTGTATGGGTGAGAGAAGTGTGTCGGAGGGGAAGGACACGGGGCCCCCCAAAGCCCAGGCCAACCCCTCAAGACCTTTCCCCGGGTGAAAAAAAAAAACACAACCACCCGTTGATATATAACCCAAACACACACACACCACACACACACACACACACACACACACATACAGACCTGAGGGGCGCCGGGGGGATGTGACGAGGCGGGGGGTGGCGACGCCAGCAAAGGGGGCGCAGCAGCATCACAGCACGACCACTGTTCATCATCATCGTCGTCGTTGTTGAGGCAGAGCGCAGAGGAAGAGGAAGAAGAAGAAGAAGAAGGGAGCAGCAACAGCAAACTCGTGGGTGGCAGGAAAAAAGATGAACAACATCACAAAGTGTATTCTACCAAGGCAACAATTTTATTTTTCGCCGCAGCGCTGCAGCAGCCACTACCAAACGTTCCGTTTTTTTGGTGTGCGACACAGCCCACACAACCCACACAACCACCGTCATCAGCAATAGGCAGGCAGGCACGCAGGCAGGCAGAGGCAGGCAGGGAGGGAGGATCAACGGGAAAATCAAAAATACACACACACACACACACACACACACACACACACACACACACACACACACACACACACACACACACACGCGCACGCACGCGCGCACGCCAGGCGTTTGGGCCGATCCTGGACCTCATTCCGCTGGCGGAGAGCGTGATCAAGCTGAGCGCGGTGTGTATGCTGTGCCACCGTGAGGCCGCCTTCTCCAAGCGCATCGGCAGCGAGACGGAGATTGAGGTCATTGGCGGCGCTGACAAGTACATTGCCGTGTGTCGCGAGTGCTATCACTCTGACGGCAAGAAGCGGAACGGGAAGAAGAAGCAACAGCAGCAACAACAGCAGCAGAGTGGTGACACGACGTGTGTGCAAGGAACGAAGAGCGAGGACATGCATGCTCGCGTGAACGACTCGTTGGAGTCGACGACGACGGAGAGCGAGGGCGGTGATGCTGATGATGAACACACGCACGATGACGGGAGCGAATCGGATTCTGCGTCCAGTGATGGATTTTCGGGCACCGCCTCCCCAACAGATGCCACGCCCAGCAAGAAGAAGGAGGTGCGGTGTGTGTGTGGGTGTGTGGGTGTGGGTGTGGGTGTGGGTATGGGTGTGGGTATGGGTATGGGTGTGCGCGCGCGTAGTGTGTGTGGGTGTGTGTTTTGCGCCGTTTCCCTGTGGGTTCGAGCATGTCTAGGGTGGTCAAAGTTTGCTCTTCAAAGGAAGCATTGTCCATCAACTCACCTGAACTATCCACACCACCACTCATCACCACCACACCATTGCTGACTTCACATCGCCACAGTTCCACCCTCGCAGCACGCGCTCCCTCTTCACGGCCACCCGCAACTAAACAGACGCCCTCCCCCCTATCACGTGTTGTGTGTGTCCATGTCTCTCACTGTACTCAGCTGCTGCTGAAACCCGTCTTGAAAACGATCCCGCTTGCTCCCCCTGTCCCTTTTTCACTTTTGTTTCTTGCCTCTTCCCTCCTTCTTTTGCTGTCATGCGCCCTCTGGGGCCGCTGCTGTGTCGATTGCGGTCGTGTCGTGTCAATCTTGTCTTTCGATTCCCCATATAAACTGCTCCCCTGTCTGTGCATCAAGCAGCCACAACACACACACACATGTACACACACACACACACACACACACACACATACACAAGAGTCGATTATCGCGCGGACGCCTTGAGTAAGGCATCCACCTGCTTGTGCAGCAGCTGCTGCGTCTTGGAGTTGAAGAGGATCGCCTGTCCTTGGGGAAGGAAGACCTTCAAGTACGCGTCCATTTGCGCTGTCTTGTCGCGCAGCTGGTGCCACGAAGGGGGGGGGGGATAGATGATGAAGGGGGTGGCGCCCGTGAGTGAGTGTTCAGTGATTGTCAAACACACACACGCACATACACACACGCATACATCCACACACAGGTACCTTGATGGTCTGTGTTTTAGCCGCACGCGAGAGAGTGGTGAGGTGCTGCACAAATCGAGACAGCGTTTGCTGTTGAACAACACGTGTGCAAGAAACGAGAGAGTGTGTGTTTGTAGGTGTGAATGATGCAGAAGGTTTCAGAATGGTGCCAGGAAATGTGTGCAACAAGGAGCTTCAGCACACGCACACACACACACACACACACACACACACATACACAACGCACACGTGCACACGCGCACACACGCGCACACACGCG